GTCTCCCTGAGTTTCCCAGTCTGGCCTTGAACTCCTGGGCTCAAAGGATCCTCCTGCCTCAGTCTCCCAAGTAGCTGGGACTGCAGGCGTGAGATACTGAGCTGTGACCCCTAACACGTTTAGACTAAGTCTAGTTGGTTTTTTTTTAACCTAAGCTTGAATAGTTGTAAATTATGTAATTGTTGGCCTAGTAGATATTAAAATATGTATGGGACTTTATTAAGTCTAATTATAGCGTCCAAATACTTTAGTAAATTGATATCTATCCTTACTACTTGACAGAGAGAGAGAGAGAGAGAGAGAGAGAGAGAGAAAATAGCCAAGTACAGTGGCATGGGCTGTAGTCCCAGCTACTCAAGAGGCAAAGGTGAGACAAATGTTTGAGGCCATGAGTTCAAGCCCAACCTGGGAGGGCCGGGGATTTAGCTCAGGGATTCCACCGCCTGCCTCAAAAACACAAGGTCCCCAGTTCGATCCCGGGTACCAAAAAAAAACAACATTAGGAACAAGATCTTTAGTATTTGCTCCTTCTGTGCCTTGCAGTTAAGTTCTGGTCCCCTCTTCCAGACATGTTCTTTTCATACATGCTTATGACTGTTACACTGCTCATCCCTATCATACTGACCAAATTGAATTTTTTTTTTTTTTTTTTTGGCAGTACTGGGGATTTTCCCCAGGGCTTCACATATGCTAAGTATGCTTACTACCACTAGCTCCAGCCCCAGGCCTTGCCCCTGAAATTTAATTTTATTAAGACATTTCAGTGGCTGGGTACAGTGTGATGCACACCTCTGAGCCTAACTACTTGGGAGGCTAAGGCAGAAGGATTGCAATTCAGTAGCCTAACCCTCTACACATAAAAAGAAAAGTCCTTCAAGATGCACTATCATTACAACATTGGCATAACTAATCATACTATCAATGGCATAAGTAAATCAACCACAGCATAAATCTATCACAACTGGTAATAAATACTACCCACAAGCTATAGGTTATGGGCTAGGGGTGTAGCTTGGTACAGGACCAGGCCCTACATTCAGTCCCCAGCACGGGAAGGAAAGAGCCAGGAAGGACAGGAGGGAGCGCAGAAGGGAGGGACTGATGCAATGTGGTGAACACTTATAATCCTAGCACCATGGGAGGACGAAGCAGAGGATCATGAGTTTGAGCCCAGCCTGGGCACTTTTGTAAGACTCTGTATCAAAATTTAAAAATTGAGCTGGGGGGGCCGGGGATTTAGCTCAGTGGTTTTACCGCCTGTTGTGCAAGCACAAGGACCCGAGTTTGATCCCCGGTACCAAAAAAAAAAAAAAATAGGGCTGGGTATTTAGCTCAGTGGCACCATGCCTGCCTTGAAAGCGCAAGGTCCTAAGTTCAATCTCCAGTACTGCAAAAAAAAAAATTTAATAGATAAATAAATACAATTTAAAAATAAGCCAAAAAGGGCCAGGGATTTAGCTCAGTGGTTCCACCGCCTGCCTAGCAAGCATAAGGTCCTGAGTTCGATCCTTGGTACCAAAAAAACGAAAGCCAAAAAAAAAAACCTTAAAAATAAGCTGGGTGTGGTGGCACACACCTGCAATCCCAGCACTCTGAAGGCTAAGGCAAGAGGATCACCACAAGTTCAACGCCAGCCTTGAACATAGTGAGTTCAAGTCCAGCCTGAACTGCAGAGCAAGACCTTGTCTCCCCACCTCCCCAAAACAACTAAAATAAAAAGAAAAAATAAAGAGGGTGGAGGCTGAGGCTATAGCTCAGTATAAAGGCCCTGGGTTCAATCCCGGTATCACGAATAATAATAATTTAAAAAGTAACTTGTCCCTAGTTCACCCAAAGAGACACTGGCATCTTTTTTTCCAATTAGCTCCCATCTCTAAAGATTTCTTACTGCTAGAATGTGGCCAGGGATTTAGCTCAGTGGTTCTGCAGCCTACCTCGCAAGCGCAGGGTTCCGAGTTTGATCCCCGGTACCAAAAAAAAGAGAGAGAGAATGTGGCAAGGTTTGGCAGTACTTATGAGACAAGGGTCACCATGTTGCCCAGGTTGGCCTCGAACTCAGCAATTCACCAGTCTGTTTCCTGCGTGGCTGGGGACTACAGGCACAAGCCATTGTGCCCGGCCAGTATCACTTTTATTCTGCCATTTCTTATTGTTTTCTTTCTTTTTTTCTTTTTATGCTGGATACAGAACCGAAGACCCCACACATGCTAAGTAAGGGTTTCTACCACTAAGCCACACTCCCAGCCCTCATTCTTCTCTTTTGTTTCTTTGTTATTGGTTTGAGATAGGACTCATACTATAGCTCGGACTGGCCGTGAACTCACAGAAATCCTCCTGCCTCAGTCTCCCGAGTGCTAGGACAGGTGTGTGCCACCGCACGCACCCTCTTCTCTTTTTCAATGTTGACACTAAGAGGCCAGGTTCATGACAGATGCAGAATGGGAGTGGTATGAGATTGAAATCCCAAAGCTACAAATGCTTTCTGAGTTAAAAATCTTGCCACAATTATCAGAGATGTCTGGACACATCTTCTGGCCTCATACAATATTTCACTAAAAGCATGAGCCCTGAGATTTCAAAGGATGTTTAACCAACCAGACAAAAACACAAACAACAACAAACCTGCGTATACTGAACACATCGACTTTTTAGTGATTATCCCGCAAACACAGTCCGCCACGAATTCTACAGCATCTGCACAGCGCAACATCGAACCAGGCCTTTTATACCAGGTGGGTCCTGTGAGTGTCCAGGAACCCATCCCCTGCGGTGCCAAGGGGCACGTGTGCTGTTCCACACTCCACCCATCTCTCAAGACTCCTGCTATGATCAGCACCCTCCCCAGGAAAGGAACATGCTCCCTGCACCTCCCACAAAGCTGTGCATTCGGCAGCTCTGCCACCCTCCATCTCCTCCTGCCTGGCAACAGGCTTCTCCTCACACCTGAGTCCTCCTGCCTGCTCCCCCCTCCCGTGGCACAGTCTTTGCACTCTGGAGCCCCAGGAGCCAGCGTAGAGCCCTCTCTACAGATCCCCAAGCTGCCAGTCAGTGGCCATCGGCTCTGCTCCCACAAGAGCCTGGTTTGAGCAGGGGTAGGGACAGGACAATGCCCACCTGCCGGCCTGGCACAGCTGTGGAGCCCCTGAAAAGGCCTTTATCTTCAGTGAGGCTGGGAAATACTCATGTCCCTAACTGACTGGGACACCAAGAAAAAAATCCCTCTCCTCCCCGCACTGCTCTTGGAGAGTTAAACTTTTAATTATCAGGAGAGGAAATTTCAGCACCCCCAGAATAAAGTCCACAGTCCCTCTGGTGTACAGAGTGCTGCCCGCCCAGCCTCATTTCCCAAGGGGGACACTGACAGAGCCTGCCTCCAGGCCAGGAGCAAGGTATAGAGTCCCTGCCTTGCTGTAGGAAGGCCATCGAGTGTCCCCACACACAGTGGGCTGTGAGGGGGCTGGGGTGACACTTGCCGTCCAGGTTCCAGGACCTGGCTCTGATCCCCAGTATGCAAAACGAAACAAAACCAAAGCAAGGGTCCAGGCATGAGAACAGCAGAGGCCTGCTGTGGGCTGAGGAAAGACCGTAGCCCAGAGAGCAGTACAGCAGGGGACAAGATGCAAGCCTCTGAGCACTGGGGAAAGGCACCCAGGCTTTGGCTGGTGAAGGGGGTGGGGGCACGTGGGGCACCCTAATGGACAGGCTGACTTTGAGCATCCACTTCCTGGGATGGCTCTTTGTCATGCTGAGTTTGAGTCCTCAACGGGCTGTCTTTTTGGTGGTGGTGTTAGCAGTGTTAGAGCTGAGACCCAGGGCCTCCCCCATGTTAAGCTTGCACTCCACCCCTGACCACCTCCATCCTCACTATGTAGCTCAGGCTGGCCTGGAATTTGAGGTGATCCTCCTGCCTCAGCCTCCTGTCACCACACCCAGCTTCACTGACCATGTTTGAGCCTTTCCACAGAGACTTTGGGCAGACACCATTTCTGGTGGCCTGGAGGCAGAGATCTGTTTGGACACAGGGACCAGCCCATCTGCCTAGTGGTTTGTCCTAACTGCCTCAGGGTATGGACCTCGCCTACAGGCCAGGTATGCTGAGCACCTCCCTCCCCAGTGTCCAGAGCCCAGTGTCTTAAAATTTGGCACCCAGGGAGGAAAATGAGGCAGGTTTAGTTAAAGCCAAAGACCATCATACTCTTTATCCCTTATTCTGTAAGGATTAAATACATTAAAAGACCCAAGCCTGGGAGCACACGCCCAGGATCCCAGAACTCTGGGAGGCTGAGACAGGAGGATCACAAGTTCAAGCCCAACATAGACAACTTAGGGACTTAGCAAGATGCTGTCTAAAAAAAAACAAAAAGCAAAAAAAAATTAAAAGGGCTGGGAATGTAGCTCAGTCCAAAGGCACTGGATTCAATCTCCAGTACTCTTTTTAAAAAAAAGTAAAATAAAATAAAAGCCCTTAAAAGGAGGGGCTGGGGATGTGGCTCAGTGTAGAACCCTTGTCTAGCATGCACCGGGACCTGGGTCCCATCCCAGCACGGCCAAAATATCAAAATAGCACTTAGAATAAGCATTCGATCAGCAGCAGCTTTATTCCGATTAACTATGTCTAGCTTCGGGACAGAGTCCCCGCGGATTCCGCCATTCTCAGCTGTCACGTCAGTGTCAGCAGGAGGCTTTTAAGACCCCCACCTTAACTTGAGGAAGGCCCAAGGTCTCCTCACCTGGCCAGGGCGACCAGTCAACACGGGGTGCCCAAGCAAAATAGACAGCTCGATCACAGTCCCAGGTCCCTTCCCAGCAGGGTCGCTCAGGGCTGTCCAACCGCTCCTTCTCTCTCCTCAGGGACCAATGCGCCCAGAGGCTGTGCTGAGTTTGAGGGCCTCCAAGTCCCAGGCAGGACCGCTGACAGCTGTCCCAAGTGGTTCAGCCCACAACCCAGCCTCGGGCGGCTCCCACCTTCCTCCCTCGGGTTCCTCACCCCGTCTGCTCACCTCTGGCCCCACCTGCTCCAAGCCCCGCCCATCTCCTGCCCCGGGTCACGCAGAGGTGAGTGGTGCGCAGTCCTCCAGCACTGCCACGCGGCGCCGCCGAGAATGTCTCCACCAACGGCCACTGGAGGGCTAACCCTGGGAGGGAAAGACGGTCATCCGGACCGGTGGAGCTGCTCAATGCGCAGGAGGGGCCTGAACCCGTCCCCGAATGTCTCTGGAGAGAGGTGGGGACGCGGGGTGTCATACGGAGGTTGAGGACTTGCCCGGGGCCCACACATTGGCGATGCCAGGGCGCCAGGCTCCGTGCAGAGCCACACACTGCTGTCTCCAGGGGAAGAAGGCTTGGTCACCAGCGCCAATCGACCCTGGGGACATGGGCTGCACGGTCTGGAAGCCCTATCTCTGGGCCACAGGTCCCTGGAGTGTTAATGGTGAGGAGCGCTGGAGCCTGCCCAGCCCAGGTTCTGAAAGTCCAAGGCCCAGCAACGAGCAGCTGAGGGCAGGGCTCCCACAGAGGCGGTGTATCTGCCAGCCCAGCACCACCTGCTCAAGGAAGGGCACCCATGGGCCCAGGGAAGCCTGGCAACCCAGGGCAAGAGCACTAGCAGGGTGGGCTCCGGGAAGGTGACAAAAACCACTTTAGCAAGGTGTGGTGGTGCACACCTGTAATCCCAGCACTAGAGAGGCTGAGTGAGGCAGGAGGATTGCTGCTAGTTCAAGACCAAAAAACAAAAACAAATCCAACCAAAAAAAAAAAAAAATCACCTTAACTGGGTACGTGGGACAGATGGGAGAGAGCTGAGGCTCTAGCTTTTCAGGAAGCTGAGGCAGGAAGATCACTTGAGTGCAGGGGTCCGGGTCAGGCTGGGAAACATAGTGAAACCCTGTCTCTCTAGTGTGCTCTCTCTTTTCTCTCTCTCTCTTTTTTCTTTCTTTTTTTTCTGCAATACCAGGGATTGAACCCACAGGCTAGCATTTACTTCACCACTGGAGTAAATTTTGGTCCTGGAACTCACAGCAATCCTCCTACTTCAGCCTCCCCAGTCCTGGGATTATAGGTGTGCACCACACCCTGCTAAAGTGGTGAGTTTTATCACCTGTCCTTCTACATCCTCAACCCTATTTTTGCCCAGGACTTGTGCCACTACACCTGTTTTTAAAACAGGTCCCTTAAAAAAAAATAGCCAGGCAAGGTGCCACAGTCCCGTAAGCCCAGCACTTGGGAGGCTGAGGTAAGAGTACTGCCATGAGTTTGAGGTCAGCCTGGGTTACACAGTGAGACCTTTTCTCAAAAAAAAATAATAATAATAAGCCCACTACACATTTGTGGCTCACCAGTCCCAATCTTACCTCACTTGCATGAATGACTCCAAGGAGCAGTGTCTACTTTAGGGCAGAGGCAGACACTGCTAGCAGGCCCCACCCTCCCCACAAGAGAGCTCTGTCCCCAGCCCAAGCAGCATGGCCCTCACTGCCGAGGGGCAGTGTCTACAGGGACAGCAGCACCTCTGATGAAACAGGGGCAGGTATGGGGGGCAGGACAAACCGGAGCCAAGATGCCACTCCGCTGCTTCCTGGCTGTGACTGGACCCACTCCTCTGAGTGGTCCTTACCTGTAAAGTAGAAGGGACATGAGTTCCCCAGATCAGGTGCTCAAGGGACTCGGGGACTGCTAGCTACGAAGGTACTCTGGGAGGCTGAGGCAGGAAGACTGAAAGTATGACCCCAGCCCAGGTAACTTAGTGACTTAGCAAGACCTTGTCTCAAAGTAAAATAAAATTTAAAAGGACTGGGGATGTAACTGGGTATGAAGGCCCTGGGGTCAATCCCCAGAAGAGCAAATGAATGAATGAAACCACCACTAGCTGCCACCAAGAGCAACATCCTCCCACTCTGTGGCTCTGGCCATTCTACCCCAGAGTCAGAGAGACCTGGATCTGGATCTTTCTCAACCAGGATGTGACCTCAAGCAAGGTCCCTTGTTTTTCAGAACTTCAGTTTCCTTCTTTACAGAACAGAGGTTCAAAGGGTGGTTCTCAGGGTCTTTGGAAGGACACAATGAACATGATTGGTCCCTACTATTACTACTCTCCAACGATAAAAAAAGAAGAGTGGTGGCTCAGTGAAAGAACCCTGGGTTCTACCCCTAGTCCCCCAAAAAAGAAGGAAAAAGAGAGCGTACAAGGAAGAATCACACCAGGGCCCATCCTATTTTCAAATCCAAAATCAATCCCAAAGGCATTTTCTAAACCTTTGTTCAGTGCAGAGTACAGAAAAGTATGAGAGAGAACAAGCAGTCCTCGATCTCAGAACACAAAACCTGCCAGAAAACAGGTACTAGGAAGCCAGGCATGGGGGCACACTCCTATGATCCCAGTACTCTGGAAGGCTGAGGCAGGAGGATCAAAAGTTCACGCCCAGCTTCACTCACCAAGACGTGTCTTTTTTTTTTTTTTTGTACCGGGGATCGAACTCAGGTCCTTGTGCTTGCGCAGCAGGCATCGAAACCACTAAGCTAAATCCCCGGCCCCTAGACCTGTCTTTTTATTTTTATTTTATTTTATTTATTTATTTATTTAGGTACCGGGGATCAAACTCCGGACCTTGTGCTTTCAAGGCAGGCAGCGGAACCACTGAGCTAAATCCCCAGCCCCTGTCTTTTTATTTTTGAATAAAAACACAGAAAATGGCCTGAGAATGTGACTTCAATGGGTTCAATCTCCAGTACCACCAAAAAATAAAAATAAAAAAACAGGCAACAGTACATAGCCAGACTCTATGCTAATGAGGCTGAGGATGTGGCCCAGTGGTAGATTGTGTGCTTAGTATGATGCAACGCCCTAGGATCCATCCCCAGCAATGAACGCAAAAAACAAAACAGAAACAAACATCTGAGATTCCACCTCTTAGATGTAACATATATGTACATTTTACTTTACTTCAGGTTCTTTTGTTCAAGAGCAAAAACCAGATCAGACATAGCTAAAGCCTCCCATACTATTCTGCACCCAAGCGATAACACCTCTAACTACTGTGCAATGCCCATGCTCCTGAACGCTTATTACTTCTGAATCCTTTCTTATGCATATACCATAAACCAGTGGTGGCAAACCTTTGGCACACATGCCACAGCGGAGTATCTGTTATTGAAAGATCTAAAAGGTTCACCCATCACTGCCATAAACAATACATGGAGACCTCATTTGACAGGTTTTGGGTTTTTTCAGACAATGTCTCACTATCCAGCCCAGGCTGGCCTCGAACTTGCATCAATCCTCCTGCCTCAACCTTCTGAGTGCTGGGATTACAGGCCTTCGCCACCATGCCCAGCTTTTTTTTTTTTCTAGTCTCCCTGTGTACCCCAGGCTAGTCTCCATCCTGCAGTGATCCTCCTGTCTCAACTTCCTAAATAATGGGTTTATAGGTGTGTACCACCATTCCTGGCATGCTTTTAAAATTTATGGAATATTCTGCAACTTGCTTTTTTCTATTGCATGTGATGTCTGGAGATATACAGAAGGACTGGGTAAATCTAAGCAGAATTTTCCTCCATCACAGGCTCCCCACAACAGTCAAAACGAACAATTCAGACAGAGCGCCATGCAGCACCACTGGCTTTATGCATACCTTAGATATTTCAGCCACTTCATAATTTTTTTTTTCAGTGCTGAGGACTGAACCCAAAGCCTCCCCATTCTGGCAAGCATTACACCACTGAGCTACACCCCCCAGCCCATTTCTTTCTTTCTTTCTTTTTTTTTTTTTTGTACCAGGGATCGAACTCAGGACCTTCCAATTTCAAGGCTGGTGGCGGAACCACTGAGCTAAATCCCCAGCTCCATTCCTTTTATTTCTTGAGACAAGGTCTCACTAAATTACCCAGACTAGCCTCAAACTTGGGAGCTTCCTGCCTCAGCCTCCCAGAGCACTGGGATTACAGGCATGTGCCACTGAGCCTGGCTAATGTTTCTTTCTTTCTTTTTTTTTTTTTTTCGGTACCGGGGATTGAACTCGGGTCCTTGCGCTTGCGCAGCAGGTGACAAAACCACTGAGCTAAATCCCTGGCCCATGGCTAATGTTTCTTAATACCAGCCAGTGGTTGCATACTCAAGTGGGGTTCACCCCAAGGAGCAACTATAGACAGTCTCAGAGAGGTAAACTAATCTAACTTGAGTCACACAACTATTTAGTCAATGACAGTACCAGGATTTGGCTCTGGCTCTTTCCAAAGTACACACACCTCTGACACCATTACCCACAAGTCTACTTTCCCCTTCACTGTCGCCTTCCTAGGCAATTTTCACTCCAGACAATTTCTTCCTGACCACAACTCTACTTCTACAACTTTCATTCTAACTGGGCATGGTGGCACACGCCTGTTATCCCAGTGTTCAGGAGGTCATGGCAGGAGGACCACCTCAAGTTCGAGGCTGGCCTGGACTGCAAAGTAAGACCTTGTCTCAAAAAAAACAAAAACCCCCAGAACTTTGTGTTTTTTGGTACTGGGGATCGAACTCGGGACCTTGCGCTTTCCAGGCAGGCGGTGGAACCACTGAGCTAAATCCCAGGCCCAAGAGCTTTCATTCTTATACCTCGAGTGGAAGCTGATGCAGGAACTTGCCAAAGACATAGTGATAAACCAGTCTAATATTATTTGTAAGATGGTCACCAAAAGAGCTACCCTTGCCAGGCTTGGTGGTGTTTGCCTGTAATCCCAGCACTCTGGGAGGCTGAGGCAGGAGGATTACAAATTCCAGCCCAGACTTGACAATTTAGCACTTAATGAGACCCTGTGTCAAAACAATAAAAAAAAAAAAGAAAAAAGGAGGCCTGAAGATGTAGCTCAGTGCAAAAGCTCTGGGTTCAAATCCCCAGTATGAAACAGGAAGGGAAAGAGGGATGAGAGGGCAAGCTCCCCATGAGGAGATGGTAGACCCTAAATCAGGATCTCATCACATCCAGGTACTCAGCTGCAGGAATGGAGCAGGCTAGGCTCCTGCAGGCTGTAGTGGACTGATTTCCTAGGAATTCCCAGGCTCATTTACAAGATTCATTGGCTGTTACTCCAGCTGTTCCTCCAGCTGTTCCTAGGATCATCACTTCCTGTCCCATCTACAGCAGCAGAAACACCAATTTAAAAAAAGCCTGCAGTAGTAGACCAGGACAAGCAGTTCTCTCACCAACCTTGCTCTGACCCCAAGATAATCCCAAGGCCTGCTCTGGCCTTCCAAGGAGCTGGCTCCAGCCAAGGCTCAAAACTGACCTGTTCTATTGGCTGGGCATGGTAGCACAAGCCTGTCATCCCAGCACTCGGGACGTTGATGCAGGAAGACCACCCCAAGTGTGAAGCCAGCCTGTACTACACAGTTCAAAACCAGCAAGACATTGTCTCAAAAAAAAAAAAAAAAAGCTGGAAGCCAAAGGATGAGTTTAGTCCCTAACAGAAATTTACCCTTGATGCAGATAATTGAAACCCTTTCCTAAACCACCAGGTAAATGTGAAAGTGTCTCTTCTATTTTTATTAGCCATGGGCCAGGGATTTAGCTCAGTGGTGCCACTGCTCAAGCTCAAGGTCCTGAGTTCGATCTCTAGTACTCACCCCCCAAACAAAGCTTATTTTGATTGGCCTACACCAAATCCTTGGAGTAAACTAACCTGCTTGCAGGGTAAAGTGGGTCAGAACACAACTCCTCCCATGAGGAAACTCGCTTAGCTCTCGTATCTGGCACCCATTACCAGAGGATGATAACAAAGAACACAGTAAGGAGGGCCGGGGATTTAGCTCAGTGGTTCCAAAGACTGCCTTGCACATGCAAGGACCCTAATTAGATCCCCAGTACCAGAAAAAAAAAAAAACACAGTAAGGGGCCGGGGATTTAGCTCAGTGGTTTCGCTGCCTGCTGCATAAGCACAAGGACCCAAGTTCGATCCCCAATTCCAAAAAAAAGAACATAGTAAAACAATGGTTTATGTTTCTCCCCAAGGTCACTTTGGTTAGTTTGCTCTGAGGTGCTAGGAATGTAACCTAGGACTTGTGTGTGCTTGGCAAGTGCTCTGCCACTAAGCTATACCTCCAGCCCCTCCAAGGTTACCCTTAACAGTGACTGGGGTGCTCCCTTCTCTGGCAGAGAAAAAGTTTAAGGGGGCCTGGGATTTAGCTCAGTGGTTTTGTCACCTGCTGCGCAGGCGCAAGGACCCGAGTTCGGTCCCTGGTACCAAAAAAACAAAAACAAAAAAGACTGGGCTGGGGATTTAGCTCAGTGGTTCCAGCATCTGTCTTGCAAGTGCAAGGTCCCGAGTTCAATCCCCAGTACCAAAAAAAAAAAGAATAAAAAGTTTATTAAGGTACAGCAAGTTCTCCAGTCCAAGCCACCAACCTAAAGCTGGGCCCAGTTTCCTGGAACAAAAATGCCCACTCTCAGAAGTCTACTTTATTTAACTCTTAACAAACAAAAATCAACTTCCCTCTGCTGAGAGGTCCCCAGAGCAGTCTGATCTGTACAGCAAGTACTGCCAAGGGCTGGGGGTATTGGGAACAGTTACTGTTAAATGGGTGCAAGAGAAAGAGAAGAGTTTTGCAGATGGCTGGTGACAATGGCTGCAGAACAACGTGAATGTACTTAACACCACTTAACTGTACACTTCAAAATAGTTAGGATAGCTGGGGATTTAGCTCAGTGGTTCCGCTGCCTGCCTTGCAAGCGCAAGGACCCGAGTTCGATCCCCGGTACCAAAAAAAAAAATAGGATAGCCGGGGATTTAGCTCAGTGGTTCTGGTGCCTGCCATGCAAGCGCAAGGTCCTGAGTTCGATTCCCCCATACCAAAAAAAAA